AATAAACAATAGAAAAGACAATGTTTGTATTTCACCACTTAAATAATCAACAGTAAAATATTAACAGCTCATTAACTCACACTTTGACGAGTGTCTTTGGCTTTCTCCTTTTCCAATCCTCTTCAATAATAATACAAATAATAATAACAATAACATGCCGCTTGAATCATTTCTTTCATATATGTCAACATAATCGGGGATTCTTGCACAGACTGAGCTATAACAATAGAAAGGTATGAACACACACAGGTATAAACACACAGATATGAACACACAGGTATGAACACACAGGTATAAACACACAGGTATGAACACACAGGTATAAACACACAGGTATGAACACACAGGTATAAACAAACAGGTATGAACACAGGTATGAACACAGGTATGAACACACACACAGGTATGAACACACAGGTATGAAAACACACAGGTAGTAATCAGCAGCGAACCGCTTCAAGACGTGTATTTCGGTGTATTCACGGCATTCATTTTGTTATTCTACAGTATTGTTGTTTTATAGTTATTTGTTAATGTAACCCAATTTGTGTTCTTTGAAATTGAAAAGTATATCGCATTGTGTTTGTTACTTTCGTTGCAGTTGTATGTGTCTTAAGCGTAATTTGGTTTGGCTTCCTATTTATGGACATGCTTTTATTTTGAAGGAGAGGTAGCGCAGTTGACAGGAAGTTGTTGTTGCTTTGGAAACAACGTGACGGAGATTAACGGAGAAAAGTAATATCTACATATAAAGACGGAGAAAGTAAACGATAACGTTTATGGTTAAGTGTTAGCACCCCCCAAAGAGGCACAAGCTCTTACGTTGATATTGGAGATTTCAATAAATTAAATTTGAAAAAAAACGGGGAAAAAACAAACAAAAGGAATATCCGAATAACGAAATTGAAACCCGAATAGTAGTCCAACGAACGAATATACCGATATTCGGATATTCGGGTACAGCCCTAGTATGAACACACACAGGTATGAACACACAAGTATAAACACACAGGTATGAACACACAGGTATAAATGCGGACAGGTGGAAATGCAAGAGTTGCTGCATAGTGTTCTCGTGTCATTCCAATGTGGAAAAGAGTCTTTCCCCGAAAAGAAATCTGACCGAACAGGAAGTCTCTGAGTCCTGCAGGAAGTCTCTGAGTCCTACAGGAAGTGAGTCCAGCAGGAAGTCTCTGAGTCCTACAGGAAGTCTCTGAGTCCTGCAGGAAGTCTCTGAGTCCTGCAGGAAGTCTCTGAGTCCTACAGGAAGTCTCTGAGTCCTACAGGAAGTCTATGAGTCCAGCAGGAAGTCTCTGAGTCCTACAGGAAGTCTATGAGTCCAGCAGGAAGTCTCTGAGTCCTACAGGAAGTCTCTGAATCCTGCAGGAAGTCTCTGAGTCCAGCAGGAAGTCTCTGAGTCCTACAGGAAGTCTATGAGTCCAGCAGGAAGTCTCTGAGTCCCGCAGGAAGTCTCTGAGTCCTCAGGAAGTCTCTGAGTCCTGCAGAAAGTCTCTGAGTCCTGCAGGAAGTCTCTGAGTCCTACAGGAAGTCTTTGAGTCCTACAGGAAGTCTCTGAGTCCTACAGGAAGTCTCTGAGTCCTGCAGGAAGTCTCTGAGTCATACAGGAAGTCTCTGAGTCCTCAGGAAGTCTGAGTCCTGCAGGAAATATATGAGTCCTGCAGGAAGTCTCTGAGTTCTGCAGGAAGTCTCTGGTTTAAGAGCAGCCGCACTCGTCCACGATCATGTTCTGGATGTCCTTCTTGATGATCTTCTGCTCCTCGTTGTAGTACAGCATGGACATGGCTCTGAGCCGGGTGGGGACGCAGCAGGACCGGATGTTCTGGAAGGGCCCGTGACCGCGAATGCGGTAGTGGTTGATGACGGTGGAGTGGAAGGACAGCGCAGAGCCGCTGAAGCTCGACATGTGGTTTGGACATTCCCCCTCGCAGTAGTTGGCGTGGTAACCGGACGGTGCGATGATCCAGTCGTTCCAGCCGATGTCTTTGAAGTTTACGTAGAACTGACGTTTGCAGCAGACGCGGATCTTCCCGTCGCATTCCAGCCCGCGTCTGACCCGCCGCTGCGCCGTCTCCTCTACAGCTCGCAGTGCCACCATGAGGAAGGGTCGGTGGGACTGGTCCCGCCCTCCGGCCCGCTCGCTGGCCGTCAGCACCGCTGTGACTCCGGCCTCGCTGCAGAGCGGACAGACGACCCGCAGCCTCAGCGCTCCGCCGCCGCCCGACAGCAGAGTCTGGATGCTGCGAGACACGGCAAGCGTGTGCCAGCCGCTGCGACGGACATCCACCATCTTATCCGAAACACACTCCTCTTCCTCACCCTCCTGATGAAGCTGCAGCGACACTTTGCCTTTCCATCGGGTTCCCTTCGAAATCTTCAGGAAGATCCAGATGTTGGCCTGTTCCACCACCGCTGAGCCGCCCTCTGCTGAAAGGTTGAAGGTCACGGAGTTCAGAGAGCCTCCTGCAGGGGGAGCACAACAACAGCTTCAGATTATTAACTCACAACCACAACATGTTTCTACTTCCTCTCACTTCCCCTCTCTGAGTCAGAGTAAACCCTGAGCAGAGTCTTACAGGTGCAGCCTGCAGGTCTCTGGCCGTTTCTCCATCTCGAGGATACTGGCTTACAAGCCAATATTTCAAGGATGCTACGTCATCGAGTGCCGCCGAAGGACTGTTCCAATCTCCAGTATACTTGGAATTCAACCGAGGCCACGTCCTTGTTTGGGGGAAATTTCGAGGCTGCACATGGGTAGACTTCGCATCCTTAAAATCCCCACAATGCTTTGCGCACGGACCAATTTCAAAAACCCTTGCGGAGAATGGCTGAACCGACGCAGCACACATTTAAATGTAAGTATTTAGTGGCGTAGAACATGTGTTGGTAAATGTGTTACTTTGTTGCATTTGTTATCACCAAAAATGTGTTCCGTGAAAGTAAAGCAAGTTCATAATTAGATAGACATAAGGTATTTATTTTCGGTACAGTTTATGTTGAAACCGTTAGAGAGAGTGGCACACTTGTTACCCTGTTCCATTCTTCTTCGTTTTCCGAAGCCGTGGCTTGGAAGCATACTTGCTTCATTTCCGAAGGAAGTGACTTGGAAGTACGCGACTACCAATCCAGTATCCTCGCGATTGAGAAACGGCCCCGGCCCCTATCTACCGCAGCGTCTAATCCCTTCTCTTCGTGTGGCCGGTCTTTTTTCTTCTTCGTGTGTGATTATTTGACAGGTAAGAACCACACAACTGCATTAGCGGCCGCTGTCGCCCTCTGTCGGCCGTCAGCGCAACTTAAATGATGACGTTAACCTATTTTTTTAAAGGGCCGCCGTCAACAGCCCTTGACGACCGGCCGTTCTGTGGTTTTCCAGATTCTACAGATGGCCAGTCCGCCCCTGGTCACGTGCGGAGGCTTTTTATGCG